TATAAATAGAGCTTACGTAAAAGAATTCATGCTGTTAAATTGTGATCACCTATATATTTACTAAAAAACTATATATCAGCAGGCTACTGTTATGTAACAAATTTTTTATGTTTCTTTTTTTGCCAGTCAGGAACTGAAAAACACTTTTTGGCATGCAAATTCTTCTTCCAACATCAAAATATATCAGCCCACTCAGTTCACTTTTGGATAGTCACATACATTATCTTGATAAAGTTTCCTTTTACCTTTTATTATTACTGTAGCTCAAATGACACCCTTGTATTGACAGTAATGGTATACAAAGTTATTCCTTTTTTTCCTGCTCATATACTTTCTGATTAATGAAACGCAGCACAGTATTTTACTATGATGAGGTCTCATTGCAAAATTCCATACTAAAGATCCGGCTGCAATGCTGAAAATGCAAAACAGAAAGATTTAAGGATGCACGGTGGGATTGTGAGTGAGGCATGAAGGAAAGTCAAGGAAGGACTGAATCCATTATTTCAAGGAAGAGGCACAAGCTAAAATGGTGCATTGCTTTGACAGAAAATGTAAGAATACTGGCAAGGCTACTGAAAGGAGACAAAAGACCTTCTAGCTTTCCCTAAGGCATTTTTATCTTCTGCAAAACATAGGCTGTGGAGTAGCCAAAACTTTTTAACACAAAGAAATTCCCTTTCTATTCGTGAATTGTAACTTCAATTTTTTCCCAGCAGATTTTATCTCTAAGATTTTGTTCAGTTCTGATCAACTTCCTTACTTTTCAAAATCAAAGAATACTGAGGATAAGTTTATCGTTTCTGAACATCCTAGTCCCCTTTGAATGTAAACACCATCTGATGCTTAGGGGAGGACAGGGAAGAAACCGGAATGTCTTAATTGAATCAACCGCATGTCTTTCTAAGTGAAGGTGTTGTTTGCTGTGCATCAGTTTTAAACATCTATTAGTTATATTGCAGTGTGGATGCCTACTGTTCCCTACTCCACAACTTATTTCTGAACTTCGTCTGGAAAACAAAGTCTGATATTCAGTAAACTTAAGAACTCCCAAATAACTCCTAATACATATTTAATACAGAGAAATGTATGTAGACTATCACATAAGAACTCAACACCCCAAAAGACTGAAATGGATTATTTTAATTTAGTATGGTCTTGCAGCTCCAATGTAAGCAAGGATTTCTCTAAGTGATTTTAGGGCTGTGCATTATGAATTTAGAAGAACCCTGAATTTGGTAAAAGGACTTACTGAAAGTCAGATTCCGTCAGGTTTTACAATCTGAGCACCCAAAACCACCTGTTACTTTTGAGGGTACTAGATTGAATCATCAGAGAGGAGTCAAGCACATGGACTAAAATAAATTATTTAAACCTTAGGGGATCTACTCTTTTTATTTACATACCATGTTGTATATATTTCTAGTAATTTCAACACCATTATTCAAGTTTTCCTTTTCAGTCTGAAGAACAGTAGCTTCTGGTCTCGAAAGTAGCTTTTACTTATTTTCAGGCAGGCTGACCTGATAACACTGACAGATCTGAGAAACCTTAATTAATTATACTACCAAACCCCTGGATAAACACTTATTTAATCTAGATTCATAGATTAAAGATCAGAAAATATTACAATAATCCAGATTTTTGTTTTCTCCTTTAGAAGGAGTTCAACAGATGAACAGATGAACTTTTTCTTCAATTTACAGGTCCATCAAATTCAGGAAAGTTACTCAAGAAATACAGATATTTAAGCACAAGCAACTAGAATCAATATAGAATACAGTGGAAATAATTTATTTCTAGACAAATACTGCAGTATTGAAGTCTGCCTATGTCTGATGATATAAAAAATATCTCTCACCCTCATAGGCTGAAACTGAAGGTGGCTGTATTAGTAAAAATCAGCTCTTACAGCACTGTCCTTGGGAAAGTAAACTGAGTTAATACGGCTACACAAACACACTACCAGCAACAGCCAATGTCACAGTGTGGAAAATCTTCCTATTGCTTGTACTTTTTTGAATGAATACAGGCTACTGACTGCAGATATGCAAAATAAAAGCACAGTACTTTAGCACCATCACAGTGGTATTGTCTCCAGAATGTCTCTTCAGAAAAGAAAAAAGGGAGATTAGTTTATCAGCCAGAGTTTTATGATACACGCTTAGAGGATTTCTGGTCCAAATAGCATTTACTGTTTGGTAAAGGGACTATATGAAATGCTTAGAAAGAATTCCCAGACCCCAGTGTTAGGTGAGAGTTCATATCTGACCAGGAATAAAAAAAACCCCTTAAATCAGAATCAGGCCACTGTATTTAAAAACAACTGAGAAATTAGATTAGAGAACACAACCCTAATCTATTTTTATTTTATTTCTAATGTCCCAAGCATAAAAATACATAAAATTTGCTCTCATGGAAAATTTCAGTTTATGGAGTACTGGGATCTTTTCTCTTTAGAAAAGAAATACAGACATATGGACATATGTGGTGATATTCTGAAATGACCCCTTTCTTCATTCTCTTTTTAGAAAAAGCCATTCTATAGTGGCTCAGTGCCATACATTAGCACTTAGTATTTTCTAGATTAATAAAGAAAGAATCATTCTTGAGATGTGTAAAAACTCGGGGTTTTAGGATTGTTTTTGTTAGTACCCTAATATGAAATCAGAAGTACAGAGGAAACATGCAAATCCACAAATGTGATGCACTATGCATTCCAAATTCACAACTAGAATGTTAGGAAAACAAGTTAAATAGGTCGTAATAAATCTTTTCAGAAGGAGGAAGATAAAACAACAGAATGAAAGACAATTTACTTCACAATAATTTCCAAAACCTCTTTACAAATAGAATGATCAAACTGCAACTCCAAACCTACTTTTTTGGCTGATTATAAATATCTCATTACCTCACAAAAGATCATCAACATAAAGACGTATTAGTCTATTCTCACTGGCAGTGACTTATTGCTAACTCCAAATTGAATATTGATGTTTTGCTATTGAAATGTCAATGCCAAAAATTACCCATAACTCACTAGAATCAATGGTACCTTCAGATTCAACTACCCCTACAATGAATACAATGAAAGGAAGCCAAATAAGTCAGAACCGGCTATTTTGGATAAAAATTCATAATAATAGTTTTTTAGGAAAAAAAAAAAAAAGTGTTCTTGGGAAATTGTATTTTAAAACATTGTATTATTTTTTGTGACTGTTATCTTGCATAAGACATCAAGCTATCATATACAATGGAGAAAAAATCAGCATGTGCTTGCTGCTATGTCACATATAGATGCTTTGGAAGTTTTGCTTATTGTCTTCACTGTCACTTCTTTAGCTGTCACTGAGCCAAATAAATACCAATTGTGCAAGTGTTTAAGTACATGCTTAAATTTTCATTAAACACAATGCAACATAATAATGAAAAACATAATCATGAAAATTGTGTTTAAGATTTTGTAAAATTATGGCTTTCGCCATCAGATTTCTGATTGGCAGTGCCTCCTCCATTTTTGCTGTCCATTCGTAAACTCAGGACAGATGACGCCTATGTAACACGAAAGAAAATCTGGGGAGCTGCAACAGCGACTCTTTGAAATGCAACATCACTTACACTTTTCTGACAAGTCCAATTTTCAGTGCCTAAGCATCTGCATGGAAAAACATTGTGCTTGTGCTTTTTCTCATAAGTGGAATTTTTCTACTGTTTTTAGCATGTGAAAGAGAGTTGGTAAAAACAGCCACCCTTTTTAAGTATTTACTAATGGCTTCCATCCTCAGAAGGTGCCTAGAAGGAAATGCTGCCACTGTTCTTTTTACAGCCACCACCCACACCTCGTAGCAGGGTTTCACTCACAGCAAAGGCTGATTCACCTTTTTTTCTCTCCCTACCAAAGAAATGAAATACATTAAAATGCACAGCCTTGGGGTTCAGCTTGTTAAATAAATGCTGAAGAGCAGAATATTAACTCCCCCAGTTTAGGTGTTGGGAAGGCTGCTGATTTTATTTTTCAAAAGGGCCAATTTTCCACCTTGAACACATAGCTCATAGTGGCACCACTGTAGAGAGGGGTTAATTCTTATGCACAGCGCTCCATTTAAGAGCATGAATTTGGAGAAGCTTTTGCATAGGTTCTGGTTCAATTCTTTACAATGTATAATAAAAAAGCTTTTGAAAATCTTTTTTTTTTCACCATGTGTGAAAGAGTTGGTTACAATGGCAGAAAGATTCAGAGAGGAATGTTCTTTCCTACAAACATAAAATTCAGGGGTGGAACAAAGTCTTGAAGGAAAAGAGTAATATTAAGCCTAGACCCTTAACCAAAGGTAAGGAAAGTATTCAGGGACATATTTTTCTTGGCAGAACCAGCAGTCTTCAATGGTTACAAAATTACTTATCAAAACAAGCTAGTTTCCCTGAGGTATTTTTAAACTCCAGAAAACTAAATTTTCCAAATATTTAACATGACTACCTTTCAAATATCACTACTAAGAACTATGTTTAAAAGCACGAATAAGTTCCCCTAATTTTAAAAACTGTACAGCAATATTGTCAAATAAGTACAATTGAAGAATCACCTTCAGTGTCCCTTCTAATAACATCGCCAATAAACAGAAAATCGCCAATAAACACAAATTATAGAGAATACATCTTGACTAATAAATGCATTCACATTCAGATTTAAATCTTCATGCTCGGCTTAACTGTTCTTTTGCTCAGATTGATGGAAATATAGGAGCAATAATCCAGACTTTCACACATAACCTAAATCTTGGCAGCCTTTTCCTTTCTTCCTGAAAGGAAGGTGTGCTTGTTAATGAATCCAAAGCAACTCATTGCATTTATTTTAAGTTACAAGAGTATTCTCTTCTAAAACTGTAGATGAAACACTAAGCATGGATGTTTTCTTCAAAACATAGCGGTATTATAAGGTCGTTTTAGTCACTGAAAACTATAATAGTATAAAATTACAGTTAATTAAAATGGAATGTTACCTTGCAAAATACAGGCTCCACGGATACAAGCGGGAAAGACAAAAGAGTTTACTGCCAGGTTTCCAGCTCCACTGCTTGCTTACTAGAAAACAAGAAGAGGAAAATTTATTTAGACTTGTCAGTTGTACTGAGCTTTTTGAAATGGTGATGTTTTCAGTGAAAATCCTTGAGATGTTTTAGGATCATATTTAGCTCCTATCCAAAAAGGAACAGAAAGGATTGTCAGAGCTGTTAAGGCAACAAATGCCTCTGTTGAGGTAAATAGGGTTAGAGACAAGTGAAAGCTCCTAATAATACCAAATAATAGTGCACACTCACTGGCACTCAAGGTTAGCAGGCAACTGTGTTGCTCACAGTAGCTTAGAAAGCCATTTACTGAAGTAACTAAAGGGGAAACTGACAAAGCATTAAACCCAGAATGGAGGCAAAGAAAAAATACTATCTTTGCAACACTAGGATGAACAACTTCTCTCTTCTGGTGATGGAATTTGGCACCTCCACAGCTTTCTCCATCCATGTCTCCAACTCTACAGTAAAAAGGGAGGTGCTTCCACTACACTGAATTTAAATCTGAACTTTCAATTTATTTTAATGGGATGTGAAAAAAGAACTGTCTTCAACAGTGAAGGCAGAGGACTTAAGAAAAGTTCTGACTCTTATGTTTATCAGGACCAGAATAACAACCCCGATAGGGCAAAAGAACTAAAGATTATACAATAACCCAGAACCACACTCATACCAAAGACTAGTAATGATTGTGCTATTTTGAGAATAATCTGATAAAAATGTCATGAACAATTTTGGTCAACATGTCCCCCCTAAGCTTTTCAGGAACACAAACCAAGAGAACAAAATTCTTTGGCTTCCTGCCATATAGAAATTACTTTTCCAGGACCTTTCACAATGCCTAAAAAAGAAGACTCTACACCTCTATATAAAGCACATTATGATCTGACAGATTATCCTGAAAACTGAAAAACAGCATACAAAAAAGAAAGAAAAATATTACCTAAAAGTAGCCTTAGGCTATTATAAGAACATAACACTGCAATTATGAGAAAGATCAGTATTGTAAGTAAATAAAAATTTCATGGTGAAATATAATGTCTTATCTAATTCTCATTCAACTAATTTTTTATGTGGTACACAAATACGTAAGTTAATATGCTTGATCACAGTCAGGGTATAAGGACCAACAAGTGAACTGCAGAAGGAATCTACAATATAAGGAATTTATGCAATTTGCAGAAGGAGTCTTGGAAGGCAGCAAAGAGCTGCCAGCACTCTGGACACGACTGTCTCCATTAAACATTCCCTAGAGAAGTTGGGTTGCTCACTCACCAAAGCAGTAGTTTTAGCTTGAGATTTGCATCAGTTCTCTACTATGTCCCAAGCATATAATTTTCAGCCAGCTTACTTTGTGAAAATAAAAACTTTATACACTATTCATTTATTTTTTTTTTAAAGCAGGGACACAATGGGCTCTAGCTAAAAATATTCTCCCATCAAAACGAAGAAGTGGAGTGATTCATCAAATTCCCTAGGAATGCATCTCTTGGGCTTCTGCGGCTCCTTTATGCTTGGCTTTCTGTTGCTCTGTCTCTGAGCTGTTAGTATAACAAAAAAATAAACAAGCAAACAAAAGCCCTCATGTTGCTTAGGTGAGGAGATTAACAGATGTGGGCACAAAGTTTGCCTCAAAATTTTTTTGAACAATTGTCATGGAATAAAAACTGCAATTCTTGAACGTTTTGCTGAAATTTGAACACCTCTCCAGACACTGAGAAACTTAAATATCTTCTTATTTATGGAAACTCTCAGTCATGCCCAGATCTAATTGTACAGCTCTTATCTTTATATCAACCAGAGATACTGAATGAAATATTTTGGAAGTCAAATGCTATCTTCTATTAATAAAGAGGACAAATTATAATTCAGAAAAATGAAAATAACCTGCGATACAAGAAAGCAGGAAAGAAAAAGCCACTAGAAGATAATAATATTACATTGCCTGAATGCATTAGAAAGACAAAAAAGGTGTTCTATTAACAGGCAGAATTTGTTTCTAGACAGTTTATTTTATTTTTACCTTATTTTCTGCATTCCTGCTCTCTAACAAGATTGAAAATGCTTTATCTAGATGAAATCATAAGAAGTGTCAAAACACATAGCAACAGTAAAACAACTTATTTCTGAATGTAACTGTGAAAGTAGAAAAGATGGGCATGGAGGAGTGAAGTTGAGAATGGGAAGATGAGGAGGTGAGAGGAAGGTGGCTTTAGTTTTATATTTGTTTCTTACTCTCCTATTCTAGTTTTAATTGGCAATAAATTAAATTAATCTTCCTGAAATTGATTCTGCTTTGCCTGTTGCAATAATTGGTAAGTGGTCTCCTGGTCCTTATCTTGACCCACGAGTTTTTTCATCTTATTTTCTCCCCCTGCCCTGTTCAGCGAGGGGAGTGAGAGAGCAGTTGGTGGGAAAGCGGGGGGGTAAGGCAAGGTCAACACACCACAGTTTCTCTATGTGCTCCTGGTAATTCTTCATTAAGAAGGACGGATGTATCTACTCTTAATGAGCTATACTGTCACTGGGCTAAAGCCAACATTATAAGGTTAAGTCAAAAAAGCAATAGCATTTCAGTGCTGTTCTGTGGTGAAGGTTAAAATAGGACAATTCTGCTTCTGTAAGAGCAAATTTGTGGTCATTCAGTGCATGTGCTGTTACACTGATTAGGTCAGCTCAAGAAGGCAAAGGGTAAGCAAATTGTCCCACCATTGCAATATTTTACTTCGCTATTACTGGAACATTTCATTTGTTTCAATGACAAGGTATTCTCCTATAAAACAAAACAGTGCTGTTTTCAGAATGGTAATCTTTCCATAGTGCTTTCCCATAGAAGAAGCAGTTCTTTCTCACCATATAGGAAGAGTGTCTTGCTGTCTAAATATATATCCAACCGTAACGTGAAAGGTTTCTACACTGGGTTGAATTCCTAAATGTATTATGCAGTATTAAGTTAAATAAAAAGCATGCTTCACTTTCATTACTGAGTGATAGTTAAAGTGATAGGTTCAAAGCTAACTTATCTGGTGATTTTAATGGAGAATTGGAGAAGCTTTACTTGAACTCATGGTGATAATTTTTTTTTTTCAGATTTTTCACTTCCTAGGGGGAATTGTAATGACTTTTTAATCTTGCCTTTTGTTACCTTGAATTATTCTCAGACTTAATAGAAAATAAAATTAGAATGTAAAAAGCCCATACAAATAAGCAAATCCACCACATCTCTAAAAATATGTTTGATTTCTTTTATACTGAAACCAAAAGGAAGTATTTTAAGTCTTGTAGCCATTTCCCTTCATCTTTGGTTGCACACACCGTAGACTTAAAATAAAGATAAGCACGGGCCTTTGGAGGTCAAGAGAAACTTGAAACTGTGTTTTGTATTCTAACTAATCTTTAAAGGATATGTAAATATTCAGATTTCTCTCCCTCATCGCCTCCCTCCCTCACTCTCCCCCTCCCGCCCCGAATGCAGCAGTACAATGGATTATCAACATTAGAATCTCCACTGAAGAAGCTCAAGAATCAAACTCCCAAATGTTGATAACATCTTCATCTCATTACTTTATTATTTCTGAGGGCAAAACCCAAGTGGTAGTAGAGGACTAGAGGAGTGTTGTTATGACAGATCCCAATGGGAATTCAACAAAGTCCACCACAAAAGGCTATTAGAGAAACCAAGTTTCTCTGGGACAAGGAAGAGTCCCAGAGACTCTTACAGAGATATAGAGATATCTCTTATAGAGGTAAGTGATTGCCTCAAAGATGAGAAACAGAGCAACCTATCAGTTTCTCCAGCAGCAGAATATCACAAGCGTCTTGTTTTACAACAAACTGCTCGTCACCCTAAACTGCTCTTTAGGTGGCACCAAGCTGATGCAAAATCTTATTAACCAGGTGTGGAAATGGTAGAGGAAATTCAGTGTCACTGTAAAACTGATAAATATGGAAAAAAAAAACCACTCACATTAGATGAAAAGTAGTGTGTTCTGATATTTTCACCACCCCTCAGAATAAGATTTGGGAGTCTAAGAAAGCAGGTCTGTGAGGACATCAGCTTAGTAGTCACGAAAGCAATCCTGAATGATAAGAATTACTGTAAAAGGAAGAGAGAAAAAAAATAGAAAATGATAGGAAAATGAAAGGGGAGGGACTCTCTAAATTTTCTACAAAATCTTTAGTGGCACAGATAATGCCCGCTACAAGAAACAGTGGGAAGTATACAATATCCAGCATAATAATAGTCCAAAATAACAAGAGGATGTATTGGGCAGGGAAATCACTGAACTTTTTTCCCCAGATGTTGATCTTCATCAATTTTTTGGAGGAAAAAACCGTCTGTGGGAAGTCCTCTTCGGTAACTCTTTAATACTTTATCTAAATTTGTCTACTGCATCAGCTTCAGTGCAATCTCAATCAAGATGTTGCTTTAAGGAAGAGGACAACTGTCACAAAAATATTACGGAGTGTTTCACAATATCAAAACAAGAAATCATCAAAACCAGAAGTCACTAAAACACACTACACAGGGACAGCCTGAAGATATTACAGAGATTTCAGTTGGATTTTTTGAGCCACATGCCAGACGTGAAATGAATTAAGATAGTTTTGCCCTAAAAGCACAGAAGACACAGTAGCATCATGAAAATAAGTTATGTGACCTACATATTCTAAAATAGTGAAAACATTAAAGGCCACAGACCTAAAATGTTGAGATGCAACACGTTCAAAAGCTGACTGCTTTAATTGTCAAACAAGAAATATTTCAGACTTTACAAAGGGTTCAAAATTCTATTAGTAATAATAAAGATCCTCTAGACCTATATGTTGACACCATAATTGATTAGTTTTACATATAATTTACAATAGGGTTTCAGGCATAAAATAACTACATTCTTGAGACAATAGAATATTTTAAGTCTAGTGGTCATATTCTTCCTCAAAATAATCCACCATATTTTTTTTTTACAGATTTCCAAAGAGATGTTACCCAAGATGCAATGAGGAAAGATGTAGT